TGATTGTAATGATCTGAGTACAACCCACTACTTAGACCCCTAAAGAGTAACCCTAATCATAAAATCTGAAGTTTCTGAGAGAGCCATACGCAATCATCAAAAGAGCCATATGTTGCCGACCCCGGCCCTAGGTATTAGTTACCGGTGCCTCCCACAAGTTAGTGGTGAAACGGTTTCCTCTAAAATCTAGCCGAAAACCAGAGGATACTGGCCAATTAAGTTATGTACCCCCGGCAGCGGTATCATCAAGGTGCGGATAGTGGACTGGTACACTGACTGTCCAGTGAAATGTTGCAATGACTGGTGGACGAGCTGTGACCGAATTGTCACGAAATAGGCTGATTCTTTACGGCGACCAGGCATGGAGAAGCTGAAATGCTGGTGAAATTGAAGAACGGCGGCAGTCTATATCAGCTGGTAAATAAACTTCAAGCTCGGCACTACGATACCAAGTACTATGTTGCAAGAACTATCGAGTCCCACAATCCTAGTATGCAAACTTAATTACCTTGGTGCTGGATGTCGCAATGTTCAGACGTTGATCAGCCTTTCTTACCCACAAAATACTGACCTCAAAAAACGACGTGGACGTATACTGCTCATCTGGATCTCAGACCCAAACCTTTGTAGTGCAGGAACACCGCGGCAAACTGATGGTTCTACCTCCATAATATTTATTTGTCAAACTCCTGTCGTAGTTGGTGACGGTCGCTTTCCCAGAAGGGGCGAAACTAGCATAGCTTGTGTGAACACCAACGAGTGTGCACGGCCAAAAGGTATATTTACAGAGCCACCAGTTGACAACCGATATGATAAAGCTGCCAACCCTTTCTTTTCGTGGACGACCGTCAGTTTCAAGAAGTTTTCGGCTTCAAATCTGCTACGGAATAGTAAATACGATGACGTGCTGATCAGAACCAATCTTGGAAACGGCCTTAAGGCGAAGCATAACAACTCTATTCCAATGGTTGTCTGCAACTCGTGGCCCGCAAATATAGTTCACATATCCAACAAATACGTTTTACGAGTTGAGTGCCTTCTGCCGTTAAGCAGTCTTCCAGTAACTAGTTGCCTTACGAAAACGAGCAACTAACTCCGGGGAGTCAGTTATGACGTAGAAGTCCTCGCCGCAGGAGAAAAACTGGTTTAAGGTTGTGAGTACGCTGTCTGTTGGTCATGTGTAGGGTACGAGCCCCAAAATTCCTGGGGGTATTTAGATATGAAAGTACTGAAGCCTTAAGGATCACAAGACGGCAATATACAATGAGAGGCTAAAGCAATTAAAATGATCGTTAACTATAAGTTGCGTACACAGAAAATTGTGAAGTACGTATTCGGGTTCTCGGATCTCGTTGAGACTATTTGAACGATTAGGCCCGGTTACGAAAACCCCAGCGCAGTTATTACACACATGCAATTTATGGAAGTTTGACATGGGATCAAAGTGGCCCGATAAATAATATTGTTTTCAGCAGGAGAGATCCACCATGGCTCCGGGCATATGTATTCGAACCTCGTGTATATTTTCTAATCTTATGCCGCTGCTTGATACAGCAGTAGCGTCTCTGATTCATGTATGGGTCTCCTGGCGTATTCAGTAGGGCGCATGTGGTGCACAAGGGCAAAACCACACGTAGCTCCGCTGGTGGATATGTATTAAATATGCGCAGTCATTCAACTTATGTTCACGAGGTGTGCGTCAAATATATATATATGAGTTTTGGGCCGAACTCGAAAACGCCTTTCCGGCAACTTAAACCTACTTTACACGTTTCTAAAAAAACAAATACGCAACAATTGCAAACGTAGGGAAAGCGATAAATGAAAGGAAATGCTGGCGAGACGAATGGTAACAGCTAGCGATCATTATCAGAACAACGGTAAAATAAATCTTTGATTCTATAACTGCCCCTATCAATGCATCAGGGATCTACATCAAGATCCAACTGCTTCCATGGTTCAATTGCAAAAAAGGGTTTTATCGCCAAAAAACTTTATCAGCCCGATTTTCTTTACATCTAAGCCGTACGAGACACAACTGGTATCCTGTACTTGTCGACGAGATATTTCCAGCCGCGCGACTCCTCGCCAATATCCTTGACCACAATACAAGAGGAGGCTACGACCTTGCGGGGTAGGCCTTGACGATCGAGTTTGCAGAGACCGGCCATTTCACCGAGAGTTTTACCGTCAGGAAACTAAAAAAATTTATGCAGACGAAAGCCTTACCGAGATCAGTGGAATTTCCTGTTCTCGGCACAAAGCTTCTATGAGGCTGGAGTACGCAGCTTCATTGCAGCTCTCGGCCAAAAAGCAACATATGGCTTTGTGTTGAACAATGGCCTTAGTGCATTCGTGGAGTCCGCAAGTAAGGCCATTTGCCGCAGTGGCGTTCTTGAGAACCTCCCTGACGGCAGAGTTTAGATCGAGCTCAACAACGTCCATGTGCAAAGAAAGCGAGAAACCACCACTCGGACTATTCGAAAAAGTGCGCCAGCTTTTAGTGATGAACTAAAACACCGATGACCCAAACCATCGATAGGACGGAATGCACCGCTTCATGCATGGGATTCATAATCACTACGTGAAAATTTCCACTACTATTTCCTATGGTATACAGGAGTTTATGGGTCTATTCATATTAGTTGCCAACCCACTCTGAGTGTGACTTATCTCACATTTCGTGCAGGCACACACTCTTCAGTGTCTGAACTATTGCACGTTCTCCCGTATTTATAAGTTTTGAAAATAATTTGTCACACGTGCAAAATCCTGTGGTTTTAGGGCCTTCAGGTGTGACACATGCCCTAGCATAAAAGCTGCAGCAATTTATGCACAGGTATGTGGACTGCAGCAAATATGGTTTGTTTAATGTATTTGGTTTCGTTGTGTAATACATCGGGCTAAAGTGAAGAAAATTTTCGTTCTTGGTTGGATTAAAAATGACGACGGGGATTGTTATATTTATAAAAACGAACGTTCTACCCACCTGAGCAACAATCCAAAGGCACCTATTAATTTTTTCCTAACTCCCACACATTCACCCTTGGTTCGACCCAAAGCGGACTGTCGACGATTTGGACGGATG